GAACTCGCATACTATACAGGTGAGAATGCAAAATAGTAGAGCCTCTTTGGAAAACAGTATGACAGTTTCTTATAAAGTTAAACATAAACTTACCATATGATCCAGCAATGCCACATCATACTAAAATACAAGTTCATGTAAATAAAACATCCTATCTACAAATGTTTATAGCTCTTTTATTCATAATTAGCAAAAATCATAAATAATTAAAATGTCCCTCAATTGAGGGACCTGGTGGTTGAGGGGGCTGGAACCCACATGGCTGACTGCAGTTTGAGTCCCAGACCTGGCGACTTCCTTTCTCTCTTTCTCTCTCTCTCTCCCCCTCTAGTGAGATTAAAAAAAAATTAAATTAAAAAAAAATTCTTTAAAAAAAAGTCCCTCAATTGAGTATTAGATAAACAAACCAATATATCCATTCAATAGAATAGTGATAAGTGATAAAAATGAACAAATGATTAATACACACAGTAACACTGAAGAATCTAAAATGATTTATGCTAAGAAAACAGACTTGAAAGACTGCATACTATATGACTTCATGTATATGGCATTCTAGAAAAGGGAAGTATCTAGGTACAGAAAAAAAATCAGGTGTTGCCAAATACTGAAGTTGGGAGGACTGATTGGAAAGGAACAGGAGGGAATTTTGGAGGGTGATTGTACTACTCTGTATCTTGATTGTGGTAGTGGTAGTAAAACAACTACATACTTGTCAGAAATCACAGAATTATATACTTAAAAAGCGTAACTAATACTGTATGCAAATTTTTCCTTAATTGAAAAAAAATTAAGCTACATAAAACAAAACCCAAAACTTGTTATATGCAAAAATCTTCAAATAAGAAAAAGCAAGGTCAGCCCATGGTGTGGTGGTTAAGGCAATTGGACATCACATGTCTGACTGCATGGTTTAAGTTCCAAATCCAGCAGCTTGGAAGAAAAATGGCTGGTGTGAGAGGATGAGTGCCCAAAATCTCGAAAAGAATGAAAGACAGAGAAGGCATTGAGTGGGACTAATCCCTCCCTGGGGATTAATTCCCCCCCCCCTTCTCTGTGTTTCCAGCTCATGCACATGTCCTGTGGAAAACTGAAAAGAACAAAGAAAAAAACAAAAGAAAGTGTGGCTAAGCCTATTTTGAGGTAATATAATCTAAATTATAACTGTAATTGTACTCTATAAAGCCCGTTAAATACATGTGGGTGTTTGTTTTGCTTTTCTTAGCAAGTAGTAAATGAGACTATTGCTCCCTAAAAATATACTTAAAAAAAAAAGCCTACTATAAATTATCTTATAAATTACAAAAGCTGTGCTAGATCATTAACTCAAGGAAACCATCATTACTGTGTCTCTTACCCTACATTCTCATCTAATCTCCAGTGTTTCAGCATCTTTTATTTATTTATTTTTTAGAGAGAGAGATTTTTGCTATAGGGCATGCACACTCACCAGAGAGACAGAGAGACAGAAAGTAAGAAATCACCCTCCAAGGGTGATGGCCACATCATGATTCCTTCTTCATTCTCCTCTTGGGATCTTGGGCACACATGCACATGAACCCTAAGTGAGTTTTAAGCCACCAAGTCAGGGACTCAAATCACGGTTGACTACATGGGAGTCCAGTGATGTAACCATTACACTATTTGCTGGTCTCTTAATTTCATCAACTAATATCAATTTTTTTCAAATATTTTGCTTTTTGACAAGATCTGTCAGTTTTTCTCTTGATAATAATTTAGTCTTATCCTCATCATAACACTTTTTCCCTATCACCTTAGATCAGGTTCTTATCATCTCTTGCTCCTAGCTAGCCTTAATTTCAATTCATCTTTACTTTCATCAATCCTGTTGAGGTCTGACAAACTGATCTACTTAAAACTCTTCTTCAATCTCATTTTTCCTTGCCACACTGTGTCAGTCCCCACCCAATCAATGGAAGTTTTTCCAACAGAAATCTACTAAAGAATATTTTAATGGAACAGCTACATTTATATTTAATTGATTTTGGAAAAAGGTGCAAAGACAATTCAGTGGGGTAAAAATTAGTCTTTTCATCAACCAGACATCAATATTTTTAAACTTAGATCCTTACCACATACCATAAATAAAGATTAACTCAAAATGAATCATACACCTAAATGTAAGTTACAACAATAAAGCTTCTAGAAGAAAAAAACAGGAGAAAAATCTCTGTGATCTATGACTGAGCAAGTATTTCTTAGATAAGATACCAACATCACAATCCATAAAAGGAAAAGCTGATAAACTGAAATTTATAAAATTAAAAAACTTGTTACTCTTTAAAAAGTATTATTAGGGGACCAGCAGATGGCATAATAGCTAGGTTGCTGGACTCTCATGCAGATGGCCGCAGTTCGAGTCCCAGATGTGGTGGCTTAAACTCACGCCGGGTGGGGGTGCATGTGTGCCCAAGATCCTGAGAGGAGAATAGAGGAGAAAAGACTGCCATGTGGTTAACACTCCTGGGGGGTGATTTCTCGCTTTTTGTCTCTGTCTCTGTCTGCCTTTCTGGTGAACGCACGTGCCCTATAGCAAAAATCTCTCCAAAAAAAAAAGTATAATTAGGAAAACAAAAAGATAAGCCACAGAATGGAAGAAAACATGTCCAGATCATTTATTTGATAAAGGGGTTGTATCCAGAATATATAATAATTCTTAAAACTTACTCAAGAAACTAGCATATGGCATAATGGTTATGTCACTGGACTCCCACATATTTGGCCACAGTTCAAGTCCTGGATCTGGTGGCTTAAAACTCACGCTGGGTGTGTGTGTGCGCATGTGCCCATGCATGTCAAAAATTCTGAGAGGAAAATGGAAGAGAAGGAGGTAGCCATGCCTGCTGGGGGGTGTTCTCTTGATTTCTGTCTCTGTCTCTCTGGTGAGCATGTGCAACCTAGAGTAAAAAATCTCTCTTAAAAAAAAAAAAAACTGGGGGCCTGCAGGTGGCACGGTGGTTCAGGGCGCTGGATTCCATAGCTGACCACAGTTCGAATCCCAGACCTGGAAGCTTGCTTTCTCACTCTCCTCTCCTCTCCCCCTGCCCTCTCTCACTTTGTCCCTCTCTGGTCAAATTTAAATAAATAAATAAAGTTAAATAAAATAATTCAATTAAAACAAAAATTCTCAAGGGACCAGCAGTTGGTGTAATGGCTATGTTGCTGGACTCCCATGTAGTCGACTGCAGTTCGAGTCCCAGACCCAGTAGCTTAAACTCACCCTGGGCACGTGTACATGTGTGCCCAAGATCCCAAGAGGAGAAAGGAGGAGAAGGGATTGTGGGGTGGCCATCCCCCCTGGGGGCTGATTGCTCACTTTCTGTCTCTCTGTCTGTCGAGCGCTTGTGCCCTATAACAAAAACCTCTCAATAAAAAAATTAATTAATTAATTAACTAAAAAAACCCTCAATCAAGACAAATCGCCCTATTTAAAAATGAGCAAAAGATTTGAACAGATATTTCAACAGCAAAGATAAGTAAATGGCTAACACTCATATCAAGAGATGTTTAACATCATTAGCCACTAGAGCTATGCAAATTTAAACTACAATTCACTACAATTCAATAGTGACACTCCCAAGTAGATAAACTTTAGGACAGGATAGAATGGAAAGAGAGAATCTGGATACTGATTATCTTTAAATTATATTGGCTGACATATTCTCTGGAAAGCTTTTGTATTGCTACAATGGTACACATACTCTATTTGAAGATCACTGATAGAAGAAAAAAAGAATACAGCAGCCAAGAAAATACTAGGCTAACAGGATCTGATAACTTAGAATTCTGTCTAGTATGAATGAAGCTGACTTGGAAAAGAAGAGGCAGTTAGGGGTGGGAAAGGAGGTAACAAAGAACTATTGCTAGAGTTTCTGATACCATCATCATCATTCTGATATTTCTGATATTCACTGGGACTGTCAAGTTTAATAAAATGAGGAAGATATCCTCAGGCAATGCCCAGGAAATTTTCATTATTAGGTTGACTCCTTGCCATAGTCCATACTGACTAGAAAACATCATGTCCAGGCAAGTCTCCCCATCACCCTTCAAACGTACTACAAACTCTGCAGCAACAACTGGTATGAAGCACAGAACTACAGCAATCAGTGTTGACCTTATATTTTGTCCAACATCCCAGCCTGATGTTACTCAAGTTACAGCATCTGTCACACTGTAATCACAATTATTTGTTTATATGCCAGCCTCCTACCTACAATCCAATTAGAGACTGTGCTTTTTTTATGAATAGAGACATCATGAGATCTTCAGGACCCAATATAATACCTGGCATATAATGCATAGTCAATAACTATTCAAAGAATAGAAGACTAGGTTTGTTAAACAAACTCTACAGTGTGAATCTTTGTCTATAAGGACTGTTTTTTAAAATATTTGGAGACAACAAATGTACTGTAAAACCCACTTTTTCTTTAGAAGAGCCTCTAATGTCTAAGATATATAGATGCTGTTATATATCTAATGACTTTTAATATAAAATCTTCAGATAAATGGCTACATAAAAGAAATATGCTATAGTTAGAAGAGCAGAGATTAGACAGAAGCTAGATAACTTGGTTCTGGCTACTACTAGGAACTCTGGACATGTCTTCTCTGGCCTTCAGTTTCTTCATGTGTAAAATGAAAAGATTAAATACAATCTCTGAACATTCTTCAAATGTTAGCACTCTAAGAACCTTTAATTTATGAGTGTTTCAATAACAATTAGCAAGTGTGAAGCATGTCATATGCTGAGTATCCCTAACATTTTGGTACCTCTTTACTAAAGACGAAACTAAATTATCCTGTTCAATGCATTTAGTGCTCTAATTGCATGAACAAAATTAAATGAGCACCAAAAAAGAATCTCCTTTGAAATCAGAAATTTGACCTCATAATTCTAATTTCAATTCCTGAAGCTAGCATTTTTTCATATATCACAATACGCATTGACAGAAACATACCAAAAGTTTACTTACCTGCCAGGAAACAGCTCCCAAAATTGCTGTTGCAAGAAGACTAAAAAAAACTAACTGCTCTGAAATTAAGCAAAAATGACGCATCCCTTTGGATGCCATGATTCTATCTAAGCTATTGTTATCTGCTCTGTGGGTAAAATACACCTTATGGCAGTCATTTAATTTAGTATGAAATCCCCAAAGTGTTAAAAGAAAAATAATATGGCAAATCATCCAGAAAATTCCAAAAATGGAAAAGCCTGGTATTACAAAATACCAGAGATGCGTGTCTCTAAGTTTAAATGCTGAAAGAATAAAAAACGTAAGCTCAATCATTCCAGTGAAAACGACTGAAAGTCTTCTACAAATTCTTCCACGGTACAAAAAGGGTTTCCACCTTTCAGTTACTGAAAGTCCACTAAAATAAATGTCAAGGAAAGGATCAGTTATCAGACAAATAAAAAAGCAAGCAAAAGCAACTGGATTTTTTGGAGTTTCTAATGAGGAAAAAAATAACAAGACTGCAAAAATAACTAAATTTGGAATAGCTAGGAAAGACTTCATTCTCAGGTCAATAATCAACATGGCCAAAGCTACAACAAGTAAGATGACACTGAGAGATTTCTCCACCAACATAGTTGTACTGGCAATGGCAAATCCAACAAGTTCCAGAAATTCAACTGTAGTTAGTAAAGTAGGTCGATGACGAACATAACCAGAAATTCTCTCCACCAAAGAGCATAATATCCTTAATACTATGGAAGTCAGAAGCAAATACTTGGTTGATTCTTCTTTCACATCATTTTTAAAAGATGAATTATCAAGAAAACATAGGAGGCCAAGCAAGAATCCAAACCAAAGATTGGAGAGACTTAAACTTGCTGCTTCCATTGAAAAATAATAATATAATATGCTAGCAATTCCAAGAACAAAAAGACCAAGAATAAAAATGACTAAAATTAAGGAATTTGCTGTTTTTTCCCACCTTACATAAAGACCTAAGCATATAGCAACCAGTAAATTGATTCTGGCTAAATAGCCAAGGTACCGCACTGAAGAATGCATGTTTACTTCTCTATTTACTTCTTCCAGTCTTGTCATTGCTAAATAGAGACAATGACTAAAGCAATAACGCAGTGATTTACACATTGCTTTACAGATGTAATCTTGCAATTTACGTTCCTTCCCCACGTTACAAAAATCAATTGCTTGTATTTCATCCAGCAACTCCAATGTACAAGTAATTCCTATTTCAACATTTTCTCAGGTGGAAATTTTGGTTGGTGATCTAAAAAGAAAAAAAATATATTTCAGTGTAAATTTTATACTCATCTTCTTTATACAAAGTAACGAATAAGTAAAAACTAAAGGTTCTCTGAAATCCAGTTTAAATCCTGATTCATATATAGATATATAGATATAGACATAGATATAGATATAGATATAGATATAGATATAGATATATATATATATATATCAGGGGACAGTTTATCCAAAAGACAATGTCAGTACTTTCTATTCATCGTACGCTAAGACTGTACGGCTGAAACGCCATCAGTGTAATGTTCTTCCAGAGACAGTGAAGAACTTTTGCCTCATCCATTCTTATTCCAGTATCTGAGTTTTCAACAAAATCCAAGTGTGAAATGTTTGATTTAATTTAGTTTGTAGCAGATGGCTTTGACACAATGGAAAGGTACTCAGAATAAAGGCTTTTGTAGTCAGCATTTTTTCTGAGTTGAAAAGCACCAATATACGGTAATAGTTAACTTGTCTAAAACCCTGTATATTTTTACAAAGCAGCTCTAAAATGCCATAAAGTCTTAATCTATATTATTTAACTGATAAGCTTGAGAAACAAAGTTTAATTACCAATATGTTAAAGTTACTAGGTCCCTAAAGTTGATCTATAATTCTCTTTACTTTTATTTCTTCTAAATTACTTTGAGTAAATTAGAACATTCCAGATTCCAAACATTCCAGATCTAAACACTGTCTCTTTAGCAAACTAATTCTTGAACTTTCTAGTGAAAGGTGAAAACTTGAAATGCTACTACAATTGTATAATAAAATATATAAACTTTTCAATTCTACTTGGAAAAAAAAAGTTACCAATTATTTATTAGAGGATAATTATTTTTAAGTCCCCCGTAAGTTGTAGCTAGAAATGACAGTGGTCAAAAGCTGATTTAACTATCTGTTAGATAATTCTTCAAACTTTTCTAGCACAGTTTCAGAATAATTGATCTACTTTAATGGCTCATGGGCACACTGAACATCCAAGAACTCAAACAGATATTAAAAAAGTAACTAGGTTGTGATCAGTTTAGTTATACTTTCTTAACAGCCATACACTAAAAGACTCAACAGAAACAAATAACCAGGAATTAAGCCTGAAGTACCAGTTTGGCTGCAGAAGTCACTGAAACAACCTTAGGATTTCTAAGAGATTCCAAGTATTACTACTAATTCTACATCTATGTTCAACATGTGTATTTTTACGACTAAATCCACTGAATTAAATACAAGGTTCTAACTGATCTTCCTCAATTACATTTTTATTCGATCGTATCTTACTTAAAATACCAAACAATGTTAAAGAAAATGTCTTGTATTGATGCATATATATACATATATATACATATATGTGTATACACACACACACACACACACACACACACACACATATATTTGTTTTTACTTAAGTGTAAGAAACTGATAAAATTTGGAACTTTTTTTTAAAATGTCACTTGTGTGAGTTATATAATCACTCCCACAAGTATGTTGGAATATATAGCCTCAAAGAGCCAGTGGTACAATCTGGCTCGGGCTACTGGATGCTGCCGGAAAGGGAGAAAAAAATCACACACTAGGCTTAAGGGTGCCACTCTAATTCATAAAAAAGTCCTTCTTTCCCTGCTCAACACTCTTCCCTTCTCTGTAAGGATAGAAACTTCTCTTCTCTCTCTTCAGAGCTCTGACACTTCCTATCACATTCTCACCAGAAAACTGCTTCCTATGGAATCATCAGAAGGGAGCTACCTTGAGCTTACAACACCACAAACCCACCTCTACCAATAGCTCTGGATTCAACAACTAAAGGGTATCCCTTCCCTATCTAAGACTAAATCCTTTGGCCATACTGTTTATCTCTCTCTTTCTGACTCTCCCAGAACATAGTTCTCTCCACTCTCTACAAACTCTCACTTTTCTCTTATCCATTAGCACTTAAATATTTGTGAATTTTGTTTTTAAAAACACTACAATGGCATGGTGGTTAAGGCTAATGGATCCCACATGGACAAACAACTCAGCAGCAGGGTTAGAATTCCAGACCTGATGGCTTGATAAACACATCAGGTGTTAAGTGTATGTGCCCAAAATCCTGGGAGGAAAATGGAGAAGGGACTCCTGCATGGTTGTTCACCCTGGGGGAGGGAATATGCTTTATCATTTTCTCTTTCTCTCTCTTCCCATCCTGTGAGCACACAAGTCCTACAACAAATTAAGAGGAAAAAAAAAGGTAGAGAAACAAAAATAATAAAAACAATCTTTGCTCATCCCCATCTCTTCTACCAAGTTCAATCCTCTATCCTCCTCTTGACAGTTACTGTATGGTTGTTTCACTTCTTACTTTTCAAATCACCAAATGGTGGTTTCCACACAACTGTTCTGTCAGGTTCTGAAATGATCTGTAAATTCCTAAGTCCAGTGGGTACTGTTTTTAGTGTATATCCTTAACATTCTCTTTTTTTTTTTTTTTGGACAGAGAGACAGAAAGCAAGAAACCCCCCCCCCTCCCCAAGGGGGATGGCCATGCTGCAATCCTTTCTCCTCCATTCTCCTCTTTGGATCTTGGGCATGAACGTACATGTGCCCAGCATGAGTTTAAGCCACTAGGTCCAGGATTCTAACCGCAGTCAACTGCATGAGTCCAGCAACATAGCCATTATACCTTGGAATTTAAAAATCAAATCTCCAGATTTTCTTCTTAAGCCTCTCCTTCTTGGTCTCCTTGAAGGTTTTTCATTCATTCGATGTATGGGTTAAGCTTATGCTAGGTTCAAATCCATGTCTAAGTTTTTGTCTCACAACATACTTTCTCTGAGTAAACTCATTTATTTCCATGTTTTCGATTATAAAACTACCCCTGTATCTAGCCACACATATATATTAATTTTCCTTTATGAGTAAATGAACTTGTTCTGTTCTGGCCTTATTAACAAAGGTAAAAACCAGGAAAACAAAGTAAATATTAAGCATGGAAATAATCTGATAAAGACAGTACATCTATATCATGGAATATATGCAGGCAGCCACCTTCTTTTTTTTTTTTTTTTTGGAGGGGTTTTTGCTATAGGGCGCATGCACTCGCCAGACAGACAGAGACAGAGAGATAGAAAGCGAGAAATCACCCCCCAGGGGGAATGGTCACGCCATAATCCCTTCTCCTCCATTCTCCTCTCGGGATCTTGGGCACGCACACACATGTGCCCGGCGTGAGTTTAAGCCACTGGGTCCAGGACTCGAACCGCAGTCAACTACGTGGGAGTCCAGCAACATAGCCATTACGCTAACTGCTGGTCCCACAGCAACCTTAAGGGCCAAAATCATAGCAGGTAATTGTTTAAATGGCTAATTTGTGAAATTTTCTCCCATGCTGACCTTCAAAAGACAAATGGTTTGAGTAAAATACAAAGGCATTACTATTCTTTTCAATTGGTCTGCTGTCATTAATGATTCAATGAAAAATTACTCTAGAGGTGGATAAAAATTGAGCACAGAAGAGTTAATGTGCAGATAGGAAAAGTTCATCACTGTCAGTGTCTGGATTAATTTAAAAACTCTGAATTGTATACAACTCCAACCTTCCTCCTCTTTACCACCCACATTTAATCCTCACCAAGTCCGGTTTATTCTTTATATACTCATCTCTCACATGTTTCCACTACTCAACTCCAATTCTGGCCACCATCATCTCATTCTGGAATGCCTCACTCAATCTACTCTTGCTCTTTTCTAAAAAACAGACTTTTTAAAACTAAAATGTTTCTAGTCACTTTGGCATGCAAAATCCTCTAATGGCTTTATATCACCCTTAGCAATAAAGTCTAAACTGCTTACAATGCCTTCCTTAAAAAGTACTCTACACTGGACCTGAAAAACTCCGGTTTGTTTGTTACTACTCTTCCTCTCACACTTTGTATTCCAACCTTTCAAATTCAAGCTGCACAAGTGCTATTCCTTCTCCAGATGTACTCTTTTCCCTCCTGTGCCTCACCCTGTGCCAACACCTGGCTTAGTTCCTACTCTTCAGTTCTCAACTTGAATCATTTTCTTAGGGAGGCTATCCTGAATCCATCATATGACTTTTGTAGTTTTTTACAAAAGAAAAAGCAATACCTACAGAATAGAAAAATAATAGGATAGAAAATAATAGAAAAATACTCATCAACACTTGTTTAATGTCTATATTTCCCGCTAAACTACAAGGTCTCTGAGGATTTATCTTCAATATTACTACATGCTGAGTGCATAGCAGAAAATCTGGCATCAGGTAGGTCTTCAACAAAGACTTAAAAAAAAAAAACTAATTCAGAAATAACTACACTTAATAACGGTAGTCAGTTATTGGTACTTGTCAATACGGAGAGAATAATAGCCAATAAGAGCTGTGAGAGATACATGAATTTTTTTTTCCCCCTGGCCTTACTCCAGCCTTCACTTAATTCACCCAAATTCCTCCAAACCAGTTAGTTTCTCTCCATGTCCTAATTCTAGGCAATGGCTTCAAGACACACTGTATCCCTTGCATCATCTTTCACTCAGGAACTATTTCTGTCCCATCTAGGGTATAAGTGTCAAACGGTGAAAGAGCCACCCTGGGAAGTCAGGGACGCGGAATTCCAGGGCTCCGGTTCTGAGTTCATGAGAACGATTCTTGGGAGGCGGTGCTACCTCACACAAGGAGAATGGCCCCTCGAATGTTAAATGCCTCAGCAACGGAGCAGCAACAGCAACTCAGTTCCACTCAGCCTCCTTCTAGTGAGATATGAGAGGCCTAACACAAAGCCTGGCTGTCCTCCACACCCATCTATAATATCTCGGGAAAAGGCGGTCACAACGTGGCGCCCAGTTGGGAAACCAGT